ACATACTCTGACTGTGAACCCTTCGAGCCCCAGGTGATGTCTCTTGGGACCTCTGGGCCCTGCATCCGGCTGATTCCTGTGACTACGTTTGCAGTTGTTTGTCAAGACAGCTTCTTGTGGTTTTAAAATCCTTGTTTCACGCTAGAAGTAGTGCTCACCGTCTGTTACTCCAAAACCACACGAAATGTGGCATTAGTCTCAGATCATCTCTAGTGAGAACTGGATGATCTCCAGAACTGAGTATCTTCCAGGGAGTAAGATCTGAAGGGTGAGGCTGCGCACTGAGTCTCTCCTCTATCGCTTAGTTACTGTGTAATACTGGGCAGATGTTTAAGGGGCCCCTGAGCTTCTGTTACTTTTTCTTCACCTGAGCTTCTGTTTTTTCTTTTTCTATAAAACAGGAATAATGATACTTGCCCTTCCCATCCTGCAGGGTGCTCATAAGGATCAAATGAAATTGCATACATACTTGAAAGTGCTAGTTACCTTTTAAAGTTTATTTTTAAATGTCAAACATCTTCCTATGAAGAAAAGAAAAGCACAGAGAAATAAAGCCTCTCCTCTTTCCTGCAAGGCCATCCTTATTACATCCAAAGACAAAATTTGGGGGGCAGTTTTGTGCATTGCGTTCACTCTCACTCTTCAAACACATAATCCTGCTTTCACCCCATCCATACCATGGGCGGTTTTCACCCCACCACCACCATTTAGAATTTCTTCATGGCCAGTTACATCTTTTGATATGTATCTCAGAAGACTGAGACATTCTCAGCAATAAGACCAGAGTGTGCTTCCTGAGGCGGATTCTGAGCATACTGAACCATGGACAAAATGCTACAGTGACTCCTCATTGCCTGCAGAGGAAAATTCAAAATCTTTAGGAAGGGGTGGCGAGCCCACTAGCCCGTGACTCCAATCTACAACTTCACTGGCATCTCCAAAGGTCGCTTTCCTCGTAACATACTCCTTGGTCATACAAAACGACATTGTTTTTAGAAAGTCCTGGGCCTTTTTGCCTGCTGCCACATTGGAGCAAGAGGAGGGGTCATTTGGGACCCCTCCTGTCTCTCAGGAGCTGTTCCTGTTCCCCAATAAATCTCCCTACTCTTACCTTCAGTTGTTCCTTAGAATTCATCTTCAACTTTAGGAAACACAAACTCAGAGTGTCTGACATCTAGCAGGTTGGGAGTTACGTTTATTTCCCCTACATCTGTGCTCCAGCTACTTGGGAGAAGTGGTACATATCAAGCCAGCATGAAACCACCAAATTGTAGGTTTTTTTAAAGCTTCTGTGATGTGACCCTACACGTAGAGACCTCAGTCACTGAGCAGTCCAGACAATGCTACATGCTTCTTTGAAAGGAAAACAAATGAGGTGAGAGCTTCTTTGTGTACTAGGTGGGGATGGTTGACTAACAAGGCTGTTCTATACTAAAATAGACGTTTAAATGCATTTCAAAGGTAATATCGTGATTATTATGTCAAAATGGTGCTATGATTTGGGTCTAGATATCTCCCGGTGTGGTCATGGGCTGGATCCAGGGTGTGTGAAGCTGGAACTGATTCACGGTGCAGTGCTAGGCTCAAGGGCCCTGGGACGAAGGGGGTGAGTGCTGCCTGCCCTAAGGGGTCCGAATGAGATAAAAGGGGCAGGGAGACGCTGTTGACTCTCCTTGCTGCCTTGGGAGCACCATGTTTTTCTCCTCTTTGATGTTTGTTTGCCATCCCAGTCTCAGAGCCAGCCCGATTATGGACTGAAAACTTTATGAACTGTAAGCCAAGTAAACCCCTTCCCCTCCAACTTCGGGTACTGGGTATTTTGTCTCAGCAATAAGAAAAAGGGTCTGTTAACATTTTGCAGTGATTTAACTTCTAAAACAACCATAATTGATAAGAAATAACAATCTTCTGGCTA